AGAGACCCCAAAGGCACAGCCCAGGGACCCCCTCCTCCAGCCACACCCCACCTGCTGCAGTCACCACCCAGTGAGTCCGTCCAAGTGGATTAATCCACTGTTAGTCTACACCTCTTACAACCCAATCATGTCACAATATGGCGGCAGGGCCTGGAGGAAGAGAGCAGCTCAGGACAGGGCACCAGGGAGCAGAGAGAGCTCTGCTCACCAGGGACAGGACAGAGACCCCCAAGGCACAGCCCAGGGACCCCCTCCTCCAGCCACACCCACCTGCTGCAGTCACCACCCAGTGAGTCCATCCAAGTGGATTAATCCACTATGAGTCTACACCTCTCGCAACCCAATCATTTCTCCTCCGAATCTTCTTTCATGGTCCCACACATGAGCTTTTGGGGGACCCCTCACATCCAAATAGTGACAGAGATTAATAACTGTAGTCAATGAGGAGATTGAACAATCGCAAAAAATACCCCCTAAAAAAACTCGTGTGAACGTGGTCTCTCTCCCTCTCTCAGAAATACCTAAGCAGATGGGACTCGCTCCTCTTGTGATGGCGTGAGATGTCTGATGCCGACACCATGACGTGAAGTTGGGGGACGGGGTCACGAAGCACCTGGTTTTCCTTCTGAACTCCCCAATTCAGAGGGTTGCATTTAGAAAGAGATGCTTTTCTCTTTTCTCTCCTTTTTAATAAGATAAAAAGACTGACATCTTTTCCACATGGTACCAAAATCCAAAAGAGCCAAACACAATGACCGTGGAGATCCCTGTGCTAAAGATCAGCGTGCTCTGGAACCTTCTGACGGTTTCAGTTTCCTGTGAGCCCCCCCTCCCCCCCCCTAGACATTTTAGGCAGAAGAATTCCTAAGAATTCTGCAATCCCATGCCCACATTTTTAAAAACATAAATAACAGGACTATAAACACACTCTTGTGCTTTTTTTTTTTGTGCAAAACTTACACAAATGCAATTTTTTTAGGTAAAAATAAGATTATTATAATTTTTTTTGCAGAAACCAATTTTTGCTTATTTTAAAATGCACCCCCCACACCGCCAGACTCTTCCTGTCAGCAGACAGACGAATTTAACTTAACCAACATGGACCTCGAACCTCCATCCGTGAGACCTTATTGGTACATCAAGGGATCCTGCAATTAATACATTAATAATAAATTAATAAATAATGCTTTAATTATGCACGGTGACTTTTTTTTTTTTCTCATCTACAAATTTCTCAACAGACCTGAATCTCATTCACCCGCCTGTCATCTTACTGAGTCTGGAGGCTGAGTCGGGAGGTTGGCAAGTTGGAGGCCAGCCTCAGCGATTCAGCGAGGCCCTAAGCCAACTTGCAAGACCCTGTCTCAAAGGGCTGGGGATGCGGCTCAGCGGTAGAAGGCTTTCGGGTCCCATCCTGGGTGCTACAAAAAATTCAATTAATTAATAATAAAAGCCATCCACGGAGGTGAGTGACCGTCCATCTCTTGGCCTCCGTCACAAGTCAGGTATCTGAGCAGATCCCTTGGGGACTGGCTCAGTGGCACTTGGGAGGGTCTGGGCTGCTGAGAGAAGAAGGGATTGGTGCAAGATGCAGCCGGCCGGCAGGACGCTTGGGGACAGGAGCCTGACTATACTTCTGCAACGAGAAAAAGGACCCAAGAGAAGTTGTCCCCTCACAGAGTCTCAGGACTCGGGATCTACTAGACTGGCAAGAGGTGGTGGCCTGCCAATAAGACATTGAAGGACTTTGGATTTGAATGCCATCTGTGGCTTGGGGGCAGGCAGAAACACAGGGTCCTCAAAGGCATTGACGGGCATCTGCACACTTGTCTACACCTGCGGAAAAGCTGCAGAATAAGCGGATATATAGGGACCTGTCTGTGCAAATCAGCCCTCAGGGTGGGGATTGCAGCCCACTGTGTTTCTTAGGAGGCACGAAGGCGATCGATCCGTGCTTGGAAACGCCCCTGTCTCCCCCAACGGGCTCCTTTCTTGCTTGCTCCCCAAGACCCCTGGCACACTGTGGGTGCAGGGCAGGAACCCCCCAGGGGGACAGCCCATGGACACCACCTTCCCCTGTGCGGGAACCGCTCTTCTTCGGGGTGGGCCCTTCTTTTCCCCCAGGTGGGCTGCTGCTAGCCCCCTGCCCAGCCTTCCCCGGTCCAGCCTGACCTCTGTGCGCCCCCAGGGGCCCCAGTCTCCAGCTCCAGAGGAGAGCCCC